TTCCATGCTGGGACCTTGTTGGGGAGTTCATGTAAAAGCTTAAAGCCCGGGGGAGGAGACAGGTAGTATGCCCGCCTACGCACGGGGAGGGGACCCGCTTGCTTCTTAAGCATCAAGATCGAAGAAAAAATCTCCAAGTCCAAAGGAAAGCTCTCTTCGCAAAATAAAGAGATTGTCCCCACCAAATTTCGAATGGAGTTTGGGTGCAGCTGGCCGACCATCACGCCGAAGTGGTTCAAGACTTCGACAAAGAGGGGATGAAAAGGTAATCGCAGCCCCGTGACGAGCTGCTCCCGGAATATCATGATCTCATCAGGACCGTGTTCCCAAGAAAAGCTACCCGAAGGTATGAAATAGGCGTACTCCCCGGGCAAGTTATAGTAGGTAACGAGGGATTGGAGCCCCTCGGGCGTCATGGTCGAAAGACCAAACTTGTCTAACATCCGACCCCGACGAGAGGTGGACGCCAATCTGCCCGAAGCGCCTCGGCCTATGAGTTTGAACTCTTCCTCGAGCTCTACCTCCGGCTCGCTAGGGCTATCAGGGGATGCAACTCGGTTCGTAGAACCTGCATCAGACCCGCTGGAAGGACTATTTGAGCTAGACATCGGGGAGTGAGATGGGATCCAGGAAAGTACTCACCCGAAAAAAGGCTGTAGACCACAGGAGCTCGGATGAGCAGAAGACCTTGAACGCGAACTGAAGAAACCTGGACGCGAACTGGATGCGAGCTGAAACCCGGACGCGAGCTCGAAAGAAATACAGAAGTGACAGCGACTGGGGTCCCCCCCCGGTATTTATACTCACAGTGACCGAAAAGCGACGGCTTAGATCAAAGCCAATCTGACGGCCCACAGCCGCGCTGACCGCACGTCCCTTGAGACCAAGACGTGATTGGCGCACGTCTTTCTGAAACTGACAGAGCGCCGGCGCACGTCTTTTCGAAACTGACGAAACGCCAACGCACGTCTCCTCAACAAAAGCGGCAGCGGCACGTCTTTTTTAAATTTGAAAAGATGCCCGCTATCGCGCCTCCCAAGTGGCGTGCTTTTTTGAAATTTTGAAATAAAGCGCGCACCGCCGCATCTATCAGCATTTAGGCAGGCCGGCGCGCTTCCCGCCTTTTGGACACTCGAAGAAACCCAAAGAACCCTGACAACGCACCTCGCGCCGTTAGAACCAAGATTCAAAATGCAGGGCAAATCTACCTGACACCTTGCGAACTCCCCGCGCCAGGGCAAGACCCTTAGCACGAGGAGTGGGGGGCAATTGATGAAGGAAGATTTGGCCCGGCCTCGCAATCATGCCACGTGGCAAAAAACAAGTAGCTCAGCACTTGAAGCAACATACCTAGGGTGCAAACAC